CAGCTCTGGGTGTCAAGTAACATGAGGGCTGTAGAGGCTTTCTTACCTTCTGTGGTTATAAAAGGTAGTGGTTAAAGAACTGTAATTAAAATGTCTATTTAAGTATCATTTTACCTTCCAGTTCATCAAGTTTAATCCTTTTCACTTCAAAGTCTTCCAAGTTTTTTATTACTTGGAAGTCTTCAAATGAAACAAACATTTCTCATTCATCTTTTATGAAAGTGAAGAAATATTCTTTATCTGTTACCCTTTCTTTCCCTTGTTCTTCTCACCTTCCCCTCCCTTTCTTTTTCTCCATATCCACAACAAGGAAGAGAAACTTTTTATACCGCTTGTACTAGGACAAGACCAATTTTTTCATGGTTCTTGGTTTCTCTCCCACACCCAAACTTAAAGGATCCCTTCAGTTTTTTGGTAAATAAGAGGCAGCTTGTATCTAGTGCTGCTTTATATTGAAAGAAGATATTTTTAACAGTGATTCTGCATGATGTCAGTGTAAGTTATTGGCATGATGACTCTTAACTGTGGTAGCTGACTGACTGCTAAAATAGCTTGCAGACTTCTGCTTTCAGTCTAAATATTTTCAGTAACATATAGCAACAGGTGAGTAATTGGTTTAGGCGACTTTGGCTGTGAAGCATTACCAATGCCCTAAGCACACTTCTTAAGCATGATGTATCAGAGACTGTTCCTGATACTTGCTTTCAGTGTTTAGATAGGTTTTTACATTATGGCCTCCATGGGGGCTGTTCCAGTTCTCCAGGAGCTGAGATTAATGTTCAGGTGAAGTATAGGGCTGGCCTGCTTTTTTCATTAATGAGAAGGCTATAATAGTAGCTGGAGTTTGACATGGGCAGCACTGGTTGGGTGACCCAAGCACCTGGACTTCAGCCACACATTTTCTGGCCTGCCTTTAAGGTCGCTGTTCAGGGTGTTGGATGTGGTTTAGAATCTGATGAGGAGACAGACTGTGTATGTATGCCCCTTTTGATGACTGCAGTTGCATATAAGGAATATCAGTCTAAACTCACTGTGTTGCAGTGGTCTCTTTAATTCAGTATTGCCACTGAAAAGAAAAAGCAGTATACATGATCAGTTGGTTTTCATGGGGTAGTGCCTGACAACCTCTATAGCAAATATGTGAAACAGTTCCTGCTGTTTAGATTAGAGCTGGGCAAGACTTTTTGATAAATACTAATTTATGCAATGTCTGGATGGTGAGTTTATAGTCTTCAGGTTGCTTGTGAACTTGCTGTGGTACCTGTAAATAGTTTTGGATAGAAATACTTTTTCAGTGTCTGGCTCTCAAACAAAAAAATCAAAATGTAGACCCTTAGGAAGGAAAATTATCATGTTTACAGGAGCTTCAGAGGATCTGGATTTGGTCTCTTCTGTTCCTTTATAGTTTGAAACATCTTCCACCACATTTCAGCTACTGATACTTGGTGGTGCTCTGAAAAACTCCTGTTAATACTGTCAGCAGCATGTTAGAGGTTCCTGGCACCACAACGAGAAGCTGAACAAATAAATTTCCGAGTCTGGTGGTTCAAGATAGCTCACTCCCAAGCCTGGAGCTGTTTTGCTTTTATATGAAATCCTTAACCGAGTAAGAGAACTGCTTAAGGCTGATTATTAGAGCACTTCCCAGGGAAGTGCAAAGTCTGGTTTTGTGAAAGTTTTTTTTTTAAACTAACAAACAACATCTGCAGCTTTCTGACTACATCAAGAGGGAACCAGACAGAAAGGTGAGAGCACTCCACCCAGTATGCTCTTTGATTCCTGTGGGATATGTGGCTTCAAACTTCTTTAGGCAAAAAGAAGACTGATCTCCAGGATGCCATGCATATCCTTGCTGTACATCACTGGGTAACAGGGAATCCAAGCATCTGCCATCTTTCCTGCTTCTTACTAAAGATTTTTAGATCTAACAATGTGTTGCTCAAAAAAGTGTTTTTATTTTAAGAAAAATAAGGTTACAGATGAATTATTTTTTTCAAGTTAAAAATGAACCGATTTACTTAGCTGCTTTTGACATCAATATCTGTAGAGTTTGGGACTTTAGCTTTAAATTTGCAGTTATGTCAGATAGCAAGTTTATTTCTGGGTTATTTGCTTTAGAACACAAGGAAAGAATTGCAGCCTTGAGGAAGATATGCTGGCAGCTGAAGCCAAGGATGCCAATAAAAAGCAAAATAACATCACTAGTAAGAAAAGTACTCTTTTCTCTCCATAGCTTGTCTAGCTTTTGTGAGCAGGTTTTCTATGGTCTTTGTTTAGTGTAAGAGTATAAATGCTCTCTGAAGATTTTGTATTAGGCTGTAAGAGTTAGTACTAAAAAGTAGCAGTTAGTGTTCCTGGTTCAGAGATGGAAGCATTGATTCAGGTGCAAGACCTTCCTCTGTAATTCTGTCTGCAGTTCCAAACATGGATGTTCAAGAAGGCAAATTTAAACTAGAAAAAAGTGTAGAGAAGAGATGTGATGGTCAGAATGGAAAGGTCCCCTTTGAGAGGAAACTGAATGAGCACATCCTACTCAGCTCAGCAAAGTGAAGTCTGAAGAGGCATGTGAATTATTTCTATAAATACTTTGGGGAATAATAACCAGGAAGGGAAAGAACTATTTAAACTAAAGGACAATGTTGGCACAAGAATAGATAGGTACAAGCTGGCTGGGAAAACATTTTGGCAGGAAATTGGAATGTTTCCAGAGGTTCTGAACTTCAGCAAGGTTTTGAGGCAAGCTTCAGATTTTTCATTTTGGGGATTTTGTCTCCATTATTTCTACTTCTGACTGAAGAACATGGATCATCTATGAACAGAATTATATAATTATTCCTTACAATAGCAGGAGCCCTGAAGGTCTCTTTTAGTCTTATGTCTTGAATTTTAAGAGTTAGAATTCTCTTGGGTCACTGACTGTTCTGAACCTGTGGTCCATATTATACCTTGAAGACATCTGTGATGGTAATTGGGTAATTCTGTTCAGTAGGCTTAGATTTCCTGTGTAGACATCCTTGTACCTTTAGTGGCTCCTGGGGAGCAATACAGAAGTTGAAAGGTTGGAAAAACATCTTTAGTCAGACTTTGCGTTGTATGTTAATAATGGCTGCCAGTGCTGGTTCATTTACCCAGCTTAGTTGGAACAGTATGTTTATACTCCTACTACCAGTAGTACAAAAATATATATATAACACTTTTACATTTTGTCTTGGTACTCACTGACAAGGACCTTCAAAGTGTGTGTAAATGTTTCAGTGCTATTTGGCATTCATTGAAGTTCTCTGGTCTTCTCTTGTCCTTTTAAAGTAGCAGTAATAATGCACCTTAGAAGGAATTCACTTTTGACAGGAAGATAAATATGTATATGTTTCTCTGAATTACAGCCCTTCACTAAGTGTATTATAATAAATCTCATAATCCAAAGATAAAGGTCAAGGGAATAATCCTAAAGTCCATTTTGAGTCTTACTCATGCTTTTCTCTGTTCAAGGGGAGAGGCTGGTTTCACTGCCATTACAGTCTAATAATTTTGTTGGTATGATTAAGGGTGACTGGGATACCTTTCTTGAAAATGTAGTGAAATGCCAGTTGTTGATCTGAATGGAAAATAATGCAATAACCCACATTATAATAAATGTTTGGTAATGGGCCCTTTTGGCTTTGTTTTTCAGTACTTACTAAACAACTTTTAAAAATGGGAGGGGGGGGTGGCAGTAAAAGAGAAATAAAAGGAAATCCAAAAGAAAACTATGACTTCAGCTTCCTCTTTTATTCATAGCCCTTGAAAGAAGGGAACTTGTCCAGCTCAGTCAAGTAAGGAGGAAGTTTCTGTACCAGCAGGTGATAACAGGTTTTAGCAAGTTAGGAGAGCACTGCATGCTGCTGTGTTAGTGCTGCAGACTGAGGGGTATCCTTTTCTGCCATCACAGGACAAGTATCTTGTGCCACACCAGACAAAGCTAATGGTGTGGAAGGAGAAGAGGGATGTGGGCTGTTCCTTGAGTGTCCCAAAGTGCACCCATCCCTATGTATGGACCCCCAGGACAGTCAGACCCATCTCTGCTACACTGTGCAGTGACTGATCTCATATAATACAATGCACTCTTCTCCATGTAATGCACTTTGATTTGTCACCTTTCTAGAAAAAGAGCAAATTTTACATGCTTTTCTTCTCAAAACATCCCTGTTCATCTCAGTATTAGAAATCTTTGTTAGGGTTGATATCCAGATGCCATGTGCACTCCCTTGAGAAATCCAAGTTAGTGCAGTTTTCTCTTGCTTGTGTACTGATTAATGCAATTCTCTAGAACTGCAAGGAAAGGTTTGGTCCCCAAGAGCTGTGTGGTTCTCATCTTTCTGATTAATTTAGTGTATGAATTGGTTTGTTATTAGTATTTCTCTGTAACTGTCATGGTCATGTGTTCAACTTAAGAGATTTTGCTCTACTTCTGGTAATTTTTGATATTTTTACATGCTAACTTGGGATTAATGGGAAAATATCCTTTCCTCCGGTAGTTCTTTCAAGTTTAGAGGGTGTTCCTAAATTTTGTTGCCTAATACTGCTGTTTCTAGCCAGCAATATTAGGGCCAAAGTATTTGTGCTCAGGAGGATGGATGGGTAGTGTGGCAGGGGTGGTTTTCTCTTCCAAAAAGGGTTCCTTACATACAGATGCCTAAGGTGAGGCTTTTCCCATTCATGAGAGAAAGTTAATGGGTAACAGTAAGGTACACTGAGCATATTGGATCTGTTGCCAAGCAGTTTCATTCTGTCCCTAAACTCTTCCAGTAATCTTATTTTCTATTATATCACACGAACAATGTTTCTAGACCAGTCAAAAGAATTACAAAGGACGTTTGTCACTGCTATGTCCTGTTCAGATACAGTCATTTTAGAGATTTGCCCCCTGTTGCCTGAAATGGAAGGGCACTGTTCCTGAAATTTCACACCAACTGTCAAAAATTGCTCCTGTGATCACGTCTCTGTTTTCCTCCCTGCCACAGCCCGCTGTTTGTAACGTGGAAGATCGGTCGAGATAAGCGATTGCGAGGATGCATAGGTACTTTTTCTGCCATGAACCTGCATTCAGGACTCAGGGAGTACACACTTACTAGGTAAGAATTTGTTTTCTGTAGCCTTGACTTACATATTGAACTAGTCTGTTGAGGAGATGATAGGTGTGCTTTGGTTTGTTTTGGGTTTTTTGGCTGTGTCACTGTATGGGTCAATGAAAACCTGTCTCCTTTTGATGCTGAGAGTATTGTCTGGATATTTGACTACTGGTGTCACGAGGCCATGCTTGCAGTTAAAAACCTTAAGTTGAGCCTATTCTCATGTTATTGGTCTGTAAACTACTCTCCAGTAGCTTATTGTTACTGATTATTACAGTATTTTTCCAGTTTTCAGACAGATTTTAACCTTAGTAGTTAATGTCAGGCCAGAAGACCAGAAAGTCAGATTTGGGGATTATCCTATTCACACTTCTAAAACAGCAGGTATTCTCACCTCTTCTCCATCAGGTGCTTCCAATCAGCTGCAGTTAATTTAATGCTACAAATTTCCATTACATGTTACTCTTCAGATGCATCCCAGCCCCTGAGTGGGAAGCTTCTGGATGAGGGAGGTAAGTGATGATAATCCTTCACTCCCTGGCAGCATAATCTTCATGTTTTGATCTACACCTAAATTCATTCACCTTAATATTGTTCCATTTCCTTTGCATAGAGTGAAAACTAATAAGTTTATCACTAGAGCTAGTAGCAAGCTTTCTACTTGTTTTTCTAAGAGTTTTCTTAAGTTTATTCTCTAAAGAATCAATGGAATTTTGTTCCTTTCAGTTACAATAGACTTTATTGCGCTTTAAAATAGAAGCTGCATTCTGGCATGTGTAGACCTCTAAAACTGTCATCACTTAAAATAATTAGTGCTTCCAGATCACTTTAGATTTGAGGCTTTTGTCCATTACAGGGTCTTCCTCTTTGCTGTTAAAATGCCTAGTCCTTCCTGGCATTAAATAGTATTAGAATGGGAGATGTTCTTTCTTACATACCTCCCTAGTTAGTTGCAACCTGAAGTTCATTTCATGCTTCTCTGCTGAGCTTGAAGAAGATAACTGCTGGTCTCCTGGAGCCCTTACAAACTTCTGAAAGACCTAGTTACCTTTATTGTGTTCAGTTTATTTATTATGCACTCTGGAATGTTTCTGTTTGTGTCCTTTAAAACCTCAGTATTCAGAATGGTCAGTGAGAAGAACCTTTTAATAAATGCAAAGCAATTTCTTTGTTGAGGGTTAAAAGGCTTAAAGTCTTAACCATTAGTGAGCCAAACTGAATGAAAAACAACTTTCTCCTTGTATTGGAGATTGTTTAATTTAGGTGTATACTTTACAGTGCCTGATCAAGAACAATGAGCTTGTACAGAAAATTTCCCCCTGAGGCTAGGAATAAGGGGATAGCTCAAGAAAATAGTTTTTGTTCCTTGTAGATTTTTCCATTCTCACAAATCAGAGAGGGCTGTACTCTTAAATACCCTTAAAACTGGCTATATGATTCCTGACTGCATTCTAACTGTGAAAGCTGAAGTCAAAATACATGAAAAGTGATGAAAATTAAAGGGAACTGAAATAATTTCAGTGCAGTATTTACAGGATGGCCACATGCTGTGGAAGTTTATACTAGGCTATTTAGAGGACAGGTCAATAATTTTCAAGATGAGAAAAATGGAACTACATAACAACCTATTTTTTTTAATCTTTAGAAGCATATAAGTTGCTTTAAAATAAAATATAACATATAGTGCATATTGGATTTTGTTACCTTTTATGGTAAATCTTTTTTATGCTTATGGTACCTAAATGTTTCCAGGTTGCTTTATTTTTTTTTTAATAACAACCAAACTTCAAATGTGATCAGTGAAATGTAGAGTTCATATGAGAATGTCCAAAAAAGGTGTTCCCTTCTATAAGTCATTATATAAAAAGGAAAGAGAGGGTTTCCTACTTGTGGTCAGTCTTTTCAACTGTGGGGCTTCCAGAGGAGAGCATCTGAGGAATAAAAGAAGCACCATTGAAATATCCATGGGCTTTGAGAGTTTGGAGCTCGACAGGCCTCCCTGGGAAGGATTAGAAACTAGGACATTACAGCTTGCTCCAGCAGTACCTGGGCAATAGGCTGCTGCAGAGGACATGGCAATTCCTGAAAGGGAAAAACTTACTCAGGAAAGGCAGAAATTAAACAGCAAAGTAGGTAGAATGAGAATAGTCTCTACTGGAGAAAGTGGAACTTGACCAAAGCTTTCAATTGACAGTGCAGTCAGATGACTGCTGACGTTTTCCTTTGACGCTTTTCTTCAGTGATTTTGAAGATATAGCATTGATAAACAGAACCAGGTTGTTTGGCTAATTCATTCTTACTCTTTTCAGTACTTTCTGTGTAATTGTGGCCCAGCTTTCAGTCCGTAAAATGGTACAAAAGAACAGCTGTTTTTAAATGTCCTGGTGCTTAGAAATCAAAATATCCCCAATTCCCTTCACACATGATTTTATTGCAAATATGCTGAATAGTTCTTAGGATCACAGTAAATAAATCTTGTTGTTTCTAGTGATCTCTGGCTGTATATCATATCCAGTGTGTAGCATACACATCTCCAGCTGCATACAGTAGTGTCGTTTCTTTGAAGCAGCATGATACTTCACCTAGGAATGTGGAGTGAACAATTTCTTTCTTGGGACACCCCCACCCTACACTTTTTTGGGTCTAGAACCAAAAATGGTGGTGATCTGTGACCATTTTGAGCTCTGTAGGTTGTTGTGCTGATATTGCCAGTATGTTCTAAACAGGAAATTTATGTGGAATGATTCATCGTTAATTGGATGCATCTGCCTAAGTTCTGAGGAGGGATGAGAATACCCATAGTTAAAAAAGCTATTACTGCATTTCTTATAAAATCTACATGTTAAATTCAATTTTCTCTGCAGTTATATCAGTGAAGCACAAGGGAAAGTATGTGTATTATTAAAATCTTCTACAGAACTTTATGGAGAGAGATTCAGACTTGGTGATTTGTATTTCATTTTACTAGGAGGTAAACCATGTTCAAATGTTCTACAGTGTTGAATGCTACATTTTACAATGAAGAAATTTTACCATGGCTAAAATAGTCCTTTAGACTGAATGTGTTAAATTGACTATCCCACCTGAATGCATAAAAATAAACCAATCTAGATTATGAAAAATACCTTATGTTTTACAGCTCCTTCAAGAAAATACTCTGAACTTGGAAGCAGGTTACCACAGAATTTCATAACAGGTTGATAAATTACTTTTTCACGTATTCTGTACAGTAGTAATACTTAGGTTTTGGCACTAAAGTTTTAAACTCCTGCTTTTATAAACTTGAGATATTGAACAAAATGGTTTCAGTTCTTTATTTTAGTTTTAGTTTTTAATCTATTTCATAGAACTTGAAGTAATATTTCATGGCTATTGGATGTAAAACTATAGGTGCATAAATTTTTAACTCTGTGTTGGTTTAGCCTATCAAGGCTGGAATATGTATCTGGGGAGGGAGTTAGTAGTGAACAGGCAGGTGAAGGGAGATGTTACATGGCAGAGTCTGCTGTCCCAGAAGAAAGTAGTAAAGAAAAATTGGAGGACTCCAAGGCTTAGGTATATTAACCTAATGGCTGAAAATGGGATTTAACCCACCCTTCTTTAACTAGCATAGACCTGTCTCTACTGACTATATGCTGTAATCAGTTTTTTTGTTTTGTGTTCTGCTTACCACTGCACCTGAGGGAAATAGGACTGCTCTCAGACACTCAGCTTAGATGTGGCTGATCAACAAAAGAACCCAAAGAGAAGCTGGGAATGAGAAGCACTAGATGGAAGGAAATTAAACCTGTGACCCAACTTTCTCATAACTGAATTTGGGTGTAAATTCCATATGAGGATTTGGCTACTGCTGGCATCAAGTACTGCTCTGTCCCTGTCTCCAGTTTCAGGAGTCAGTCCTTCTTGCTGCAATACTGCCTGCTCTCTGTCAAAAGTACTAACCTTTTCTTCCTGTTCCAAATTTTACCTTTCAACTGTAAAATAACAGCACAGCAAGCTAATTTAAGGGGTGAAATTGAAAAATATTTAAGAACTGATCACATTAAGATGGATGCTGGCTGTACTTGCTAAAGACTAGTGACAAGTTTTTGTACGGACAGGACAATTTCCTTAATGTATTTAGTTGAGTTTACTACTCTAACCCTGTAATCAGTCCCACAGGTCAGTGCTAACTTCCCAAAACCTTTACTGCCAAGCAGTGTTGCTGTGGGTGTAGGTAGTTATTACCATTGATCCAGGGCAAAGCATACTCATTCATCTGACTGCAATTTTTTGAACTGCAGAGTTGGGGGAATTACATGTTTTTGATAGTTGTTGTGGCCTTCATTGCTGACAGAAGTCATAGGTTGAATTAATTTGTGCAAATAACATCTCATGTAATCTTTCAGAGCGTATTGTTGCTTCTGTGTTGCCCATTGATAATACTTCACAGGCTGCCTTGCTTTTGGCTTTGACTTATAGTACACCACTGCTGAAAGTTGGCTTTTTTAAATTCTGTTAATACTCTGTCTGGTGGCCACCAGTGGAAAAATGCCTGATAATTGTGAAATGAAGCTTACATTATCACACTTGTAATTAAACTCTGCAGACAGCAGTGTAGGTTCATGACAGCCTGCACTCACCAGGGTTATGCTGTTCTTCTATGTTCAATATTGTTTTTAAAGTCAGGGAGCTTCCTTTGCATTTGTGTGTGTCTGTGAAAAGCAGGTGCCTGCTGGTCTCTTGAGTTCTCAGGGCTGCCTAACTGAGGCAGAGGGCACAGACCTCCAGGTGAGAAGAGGTGCTGAGGGCCATATGTGCTGACATGGTTCTGTGTCCAGTTGAGTGAACAGAAAAACACTGAGCATGTGAGAAGCCAGTGGCAATAACCCTCTGGAATGAGTAACTCCTACCTCCCACTTAACAGCACGTTGCAGTCATGTAGGGTAAAATTTTTGGGGGCGGTTCAGCCTATGAAATCCACTAAATTTTAAGAATAAAAATGTCCTACATGCTGTCAGCTGGGACACCTCAGATGTTCATCTGTCACATTGAGTCATAGAATTGTTTACATTGGAAAACACATTTAAGGTCATCAAGTCCAGCCATTAACTCAGCACTACCAAGCCACCAGTCCAACATGACTCTGAGTGCCAAGTCTACATGGCTTCTAAATCCCTTTAGGGTTGGGGACTCCACCACTTGTTTGGACAGCATGTTTCAATACTTGACAATCCTTTTGGTGAAAAAATACTTCCTAATAGCCAGTCTAAATGATGCCTGGTGCAACTTAGGCCGTTCTTTCTTGTCCTGTCACTTGCTGTTTGGGAGAAGAGGCTGATCCCATCTGGCTCTTTACTGATTACCTCTGTTGAAACTGAGGCAAAATTATTTTAACATATACACATTTTGTACTGGCTCATGGATTTGCCTGCCATATCGTGTATATAGATGAGATTTTACTGAAACTTTGAGGTGTTCATATTTCTAAATTTTGTCCAAGCCAATAAAAGCTACTTGCTTTGAGTCTGCT